TTTAGTCTTTCTCCCTCTAAAAGTTGATCAGTGGACTTCCCTTAAATACACATATAGTTCACTTTGTATATTTTTTGTCTTTCTCGTTCTTCCTTGGTTTTTCCTCACAAATGTAAGTTCCACTCCTAGGATGAGTGGGATCTAGAAGGTGAGTTCAGATAGTGAGTGCTGAATTTATTATGTGTAGTGCAATACACCAATTTTTACACAGCAGAGACTGTACAAATGCTGAAACTAATCATTTACTCAATCATGTAGTAAGAATTTATAGATTGCTCATGCACTGAGACTGAAGGGACAGCAATGTATAAGGTACGGCACTTCCTTCCCTAGGACATGGGCCCTGTCCTTGCCCCTCAGCGCCTGTAGCTACTTAAAACTTTTCATTTCTTAAGTGGAAGGTCTAGGTGGTGAGGGGGCTCTTTGTCTGGCACCGACTGCTCCTCTAACAGGCCGCATGCACAAGCCAGTTTCTGACAAGGAGCTTCGTGCAAGGCTGTGTCACCACATTGATCCTGTGGTATTCAGCTGTCCCCCTTCAGCACCGAATCCCAAACTGACTCGATCTGGTCCAGATCAATAGCGAAGTGTGGCACAGAGGGCCATGGAATCACTGCAGCAGTGATCATCTTCAAGTCCTACCAGAGCCTCTGGATGTAGTTTGAAGGCCATTTTCCAGTCTTCTGTGAAGTCACTCCCAAGCCCTTTCCCATATTCTTAGGTCCCCAATTCTGGAATCAGAGAGAACAAAACAAAGCTCTTCTCTGAATACTTCTTCCACTAAAGAGATTTGTGTTATCCTCAAGAGCTGATCTGTAGGGTTAAGTTAGAGGAAGAAACACAAAGGAGACGGGGAAGCACACCTGGCTACTCCATCTTTTAAGACTCAATTAATCTGTTACGTTTGGTGTTAAGACTCCCTGCATGTACCACAAAGACATTAACATCTTCTACCCCAAAGCTGGAATGAGTCCTCCACACAACAATTTGCCAGCATGCTATAAAACTAGGAGCTGACAATATTGCTCAGCGCAGTCTTGGGGCAACTCAGGGGCAGAGACTTCATTGTAGTCATTCATTATTGTATCTCAGCTGCTGGCTCTGCATCTGGCCGATGGCTTCCTATGGCTTCTGATTTGGCTGTTGTGGATGCAGCCGAGGAATAAACAGGTGTCTAACCATAGCCTTCTCTCTCTACTTACGTGGCAAAAATTCTTCTAAATGTACAGGACTTCCTGAGGCAAGAAACCCAGGTGGAATAAAGCAATGTTAATTCTATACAGATTACTGCCAGGTATCACGCCTTCAGGAGGAGAAGGCTAGTGTCACGGCTTAGAGCAGAGAGTTTATGCTAGAATCTTGGGGTTAGAATGAACACATCAATCTCTGACTGCCTACCCTAAAAATCTAAAGTAAGAAGTTTGAACAAGAATATGATGGGTTGGCGCAGGAAGCCAGGATTCTGGAGGTGACAGCTTGGTGCTCCCATGGCTGGCCTTGTGAAAGGACTTGGCTGGGAGGTGATGGGCACAGTGATAATGGGGGAAGGGCCCTTCCAGTCAGCTTATCCACAGCCTTCCACCTTCTACCCTCAGGGCCCTGCTAGGCAATCTCTAACTCCAATCTAAATTGAAAAACCGCTTGAGAGTTACAGAGCAAGTTTCCAGGACTGAGCTACCCACCAAACAGGGGGGACAGGACGAGTGAGTTTTTGACATTCTTCCAGCAACTCCAAGGGAGGGCAGAGAGTAAGGAGACAGCATGGCATAGTGGACTGCTGCCCTACCCCAGAGTCTCTGCCTGTACGGGTCTCATGGTGCCTGGTCAGAAGCTATCTTCTAGGTACAGCTCCAAGGGGGCGATTTCTGCAGTGCAGACATGCATTTGATGGAGACGGGACGCAAGAGTTGTGACTCAGTAGCAACCAGGCTGTTGTGTTGAGAAGTTTGCACACTTCACGTAAGAAAAACAAAAGCCAGCCTTAATGGACTAAATCTGAACAGCTGCCTTGGAAAA